TTTGTGTTACAGTTATGCCAAGTCCTCCACACCCATAGATCCAAGGACAAAGGAGTCGAAGATAAAATTTGAACTCACATATGTTAGCCTCTCCAGCTGTTCACTGGGAATGATCATATTTGTCCTGACTTCTACAGCTGGGGTGAGCTCTTTCCTCTAATTAAATAGGTCTGGTCTTTTGTTTCACTTATTTGTCATTTAGCTCTTAGCATTAGTAGCCTTGCATCATTTGTATGTATCTGTTCTGTCTTTATAATTAGATTATAAAGCATTTTATGGTAGAAATCCTGTGTTCATGTGATACTTCACTCATATATTCATTTATCAAACACTCACTGAGCACCTCCAGGCATGGGGCTAGATTCTCAAGAGAAAAAGAAGACAAGACATGGTCTCCAACTTCAAATGTTTCCTAGTAAATAAGGAGTGGTAAAACCATGTGACTGTACAGATGAGTATAAGTGCATGTGTGTAAGTGTAACTATAGAGATGTGTATCATTCCTTGTTGAGAGGAGACAATACTCAAGCTGAGCTTTGAAGGAGAAAGGAGGAGTTTCCCAAACAGAGAAAGAATGTGGAATAAGAAGTCCATTGCAGGCTGAACTTGAAGCTTCTTATATGCCTAAAGACAATGATACATGTAGGAAGGGACCGGAAATGAGGCCAGGCCAAAGCGAGAGACACCTTCCAGGATTAATGTAAGGTCATGGATTTTATCCACAAAGCTATGGATGCTACTAGAGAATTTAAATTAGCCAATGGTATCATTAAGTCTCTATTCCCAAAGCTCACTCTGGCTGCAGTGTGGATAGGAATAGATGAGGATTGGAACCCAGTTAAGGGATGTGGCAACAAAACAAAGTTGGTCATGCTTGGACAAGGACAGTATAGGTGGGGATACAATGTCCAAAGAACTTGTTGATTAATACATTGAGAGGAGAAGGGAGTTGAGGGAAATTGGAAGGGGAGGTGAACCATGAGAGACTATGGACTCTGAAAAACAATCTGAGGGTTTTGAAGGGGCGGGGGGTGGGAGGTTGGGGGAACTAGGTGGTGGGTATTGGAGAGGGCACAGATTGCATGGAGCACTGGGTGTGGTGCAAAAACAATGAATACTGTTATGCTGAAAAGAAATAAAAAATTAAAAGAAAATATTGTAGGGGTGAGTGAAAATTTGTACTACCACTTTGAAGAGAGATACATCACTAGTTATTAAATTTTGAGAAGGTAATGGTTCTGTGACTCAGAAATGCTAGTTATGGTTATCTCCTCTAAAGAAAAATATTAACTCAGCATTGTTTGTTAAAAAGTAAATCAGCTAAACCAACACGTCCATCACTAGGGGGCTAGATAAAGAAAATAATATTAAATGTATCAGTACTATCGATATAACAAAATACTTCTATACATATAACAAAATAGTTCTGTCTCAAGCATCATTATGACTGAGTGAAAAACAGCCAGTAGTAGAATGATACATGTAAGTGTTGATGTCCTAGAGAAAAATCTCATTTTGGAATTTGGAGAGGCCCATTGCAAACAGCTGTCTTCCTACCTTCTCCCCATAAAGCAGACTGAATAGACATTCAGTCACACTTATCTGCACAGTGCTTCTACCTAAAATTCTTATTTTTGTAAAAAAAAAAAAATTAACACTAAGTAGATACAAAATAACATTATTAGAATACATATAAACTCTACAGAGTAGATGTAAGCAACACTCCTGTGGTCCCCACCAACTATAAGAACAGAAAAACATTGTTATTTTCCATGCCTGTGTCCCTCTCAAATCTATCCTATTCATTCCCCTCTGGGAGGTAACCACTTTCCTGAATTTTGTTTATGGTTCTATGTATGTGTTTACATTGTTTAATTTTGTGTGGTTTTGACCTTTTTATATATGTGGAACCTCACAGTATATGTTATTTTGTGACATTCTTTTTTCATCTAAATATATTTTTGAGGTTCCATGTTGGTATCAGTCAGAGTTCCCCAGAGAAGCAGAACCCACAGAAGATATATATAAAGGAGATTGATCATGAGGAAATGGTTCGCATGATTACAAAGGCACAGAAATTCACCATCTGCTGTCTCCAAGCTGGAGACACTGTAGTATAGTTCCAGTCAGAGTCTACAGACCTGAGACCAAGGAAGCTGATGATATAAACCCAGTGTAAGGCCAGAAGATCTATGTCCCAGATCAGCAGACAGGCTGGAAGAAAAAGGTATGAATTCCATCTTTCTCTGCCTTTTGTTCTGTTCAGTCCCCAAAGGATTAGATGAGGCCCACCCACATTGGGATGGACAATCCACTTTACAATATCCACTGATTCAAATGTTAATCTCACAGATATACTGGAAATAATGTTTAATCTGGGCATCCTGGGGTTCAGTCAACACATAAAATTATCATGATGTTGTTGAATGTAGCTGTATTTTTCATTCTTACTTCTCTACCATATTTTATTTTATGAATATCATACAAGTTCATCTATATATTTTAAAGTTGAGGGACATTTTTATTATTCTTCCTTCTCTCCGCCAGCTATAGACAGGGCTGCTGTGGACCATTCCTGCATATGATCCTTGTGTGGATGCGTTACCATATACCATATACAAGTAAGGCTGTAGATCTTCAACTTTCTATATTATGCCATATAATATCAAATTCTTTTCCAAAGTGATTGTATCAATTTATATTCTTATTAGCAATATGTTCATTATTCTGTTTTTTTCACATTGTCAGACAGTTAGTTGTCAAGCTAATTTTTGTCAGTCTAGTGGATGAGAAATGATAGTTAGCAAGCAAAGGGGGACTGCAATCCTACTGCTACAAATAACTGAATTCTGCTACAACCCCGTGAGCTTGGAAGAGGACTCAGATTCAGCATGAAGTGCAGCCTGGTCAACATCATGACTGTACCTCTTGAGACTGGGAGCAGAGGACTGACAAAGCTCTGTCTGCATCCTGACCCACAGGAAGTGAGATAAATGCATATTGTTGTGTTTTTTTAAGATTTTATTTATTTATTTGAGAGAGAGACACACAGAGATAGCTACAGAGATAGGGAGAAAGCACAAGCAGGGAGGAAAGGGAGAAGCAGCCTCCCCGCTGAGCAGGGAGCCCTATGCAGGCGTGGGTGCCAGCACCCTGGGATCATGACCTGAGCCAAAGGTGGACGCTTAACCAACTAAGCCACCCAGTCCCCCAAATGCATGTTGTTTTAAGCCACAGAATTAAATTGTGTTAAACTGTTACACAGCAACAGATAATGAATACATTAATGGATCCACGGAGAAGGAAATATAACCCCAATATGCTAATTAGTTCTGCTGTAAGCAGAACTGATATAATCTATGAAAGGGCTGAGAGCTGTTTTCTTTAGTTAAATTGTTGGCGAAGGGTTTAGATCAGCCTCAATGGTTTAGGCGCTCAATCCCTTGACTGATGTGTGACGAGGAAAGCAGGATTTGTCAGCAAGTGACAGCTCCCATTTAACCCACGTGGCTAGAGGAGATACTTCCCAGGAGAGGGGAGCTTTCACAGTTAAAACAACAACAGAATTCTGTCATGCTAATGCAATTGGGAGAGACAATTAGAAAAGACAGGTGCATCTAAAAGGAGATCATTTTTTCATTATTGAAGTTCATATGATTATAAAAAATCATTTGAAAATTAGCAAGAGCATAGGTACATGCAACAAGATGGTTAATATGAAGATCAATCTAAAATTGTGGTTTTTTTATATCAGCAAAAATTATAGGGGCACCTGGGTGGCTCAGTGGTTTAAAGCCTCTGCCTTTGGCTCAGGTCATGATCCCAGGGTCCTGGGATCGAGCCCCGCATCGGGCTCTCTGCTCAGCGGGGAGCCTGCTTCCTCCTCTCTCTCTGCCTGTCTCTCTGCCTACTTGTGATCCCTGTCTGTCAAATAAATAAATAAAATCTTTTTTAAAAATTATAAAATAAAATGGAAGATCCGTTGGTAGACCAAAAGAGAATTTACTAACAAATGAACCAAAATGGAAATCTGTAGGATCAGTATGAGAAAAATTTAACCTGAGACATTCCTGCACTTGAATGACTGTCATGAAGTGTTATATGACCATTACATTCTAACTAAATGCTTATTCCATGAGAGAAAATATTTGATGGCTACTTCACACTAAGCTTAGTTTAATAGGATCTTCTTTCTAACCAGTACATACATATTACTAAGTGATTCAAATTTTAGTCCGCCTAAGAGCTACCTGGGAGTGTGTCTTGGAATGCTTATTTCGAGACACCACCCTCAAGAAATTCCGAATTAGCACCTCTGAGTAGAACCTGTTCACCTACATTTTAACTTGGAAAAACATTGCTTCAGCTCAGAGGAGAGACTCTCAGGAGGAAAGATCTCTCTGGAGATCAGCAGAAGACAGATCCTCAGGTGGGAATATTTTTCTGGCAAGCCTCAAACAACGTCAGAGAAATTGAATATTGTACGTATATGTTTACCCAAGACTCTTTCTACCCAGGAGAATACATTTGTACCTAGCACTTGTATGAGATTATATATGAGGAATCTTAAGGGATATGCCCCACACTGTATCCTCTCCACGCTTTCTTTCGGTTCTTCCTTAAGATCTATGAATTTGGGAAGTAAGGAAGATAGCGATGGCATGAAGAGCATGTAGGAGGAGAGGCAAGGGGAGTCTATAGCATAATCTCTGAGAACTGTAGGTGTCCAGGCACTGTGATGGAGAATATGCTTATTTTACTGTTTGGCAATGCTTGGTTAGCTATCAATGAACCAGAGCAGAAGACCAGAACGGAAACCATGACACCCACCCCAGCATAAGTTTGGGTTTCCTCCAAAGCCATTTTTCCGTGTATGTGGATGCAGCAAGCTGGAGAGAAGATATAAGTAGGCTTCAGGAAGCTCCCTCCACACTCTAGAACCCAAGGCGAACATTTCTGAGCTGCTTCTCTCTCCCTTCGGTCAGATCTACCTTCAGTTCCATGGGAGGCTTTGAGGGCCATCTGTACCCAGGACTGTCTCTCTTCTTCTATGGACTTTATCATGCACGACTAGTCTCCAGGGCCTTAATATGCAACTACCCTGTCCAGTATCTGCCACGCTATCCCTGGAGCAAAGGACGATGGGCAAGACTGCAGCAAGTATGTTATGTTGGGCTGGTGAAGATATTAAGTGCCTTCATTTTAGCAGCCCAAGAGCTGCATAACATACAGGGACAGTTTGTACTTATCAGCAAGATATATCATCAGAGAAACTTTTTGTACCGCAAACAGTGGCAACATTTCACTCTCTATATGGCCTTCTTTCTGAGCGGGTGTGTGGATGTGGTGAGCCAGAACTTGCTGCCCCAGCGGTGTGCTGCTCTGGAGCAGGGCGCCCAAGCCCTGGGCATGTTTCTCTTTCTGCCTCTGATGGTGTCTCACATGCAGGACTCTGAAGGTGTGGAGCTGCAGTCCCACGTCCTGCTCACCAAGGCCATATTCCTGCTGGCACTGGTGGTGGTCGCAGAGCTGTGGGCTCCCGATATGCTGCAACTTTGGGTGATGAAGGCCTTTTTTTATATGTTGACAGGCTCTTGGCTGATTCAGATAGGTTTTATGCTGTACAAACCAATTTCTGGCTATAAATGGATGGACGATGATGAAAACAACATTATATTTGTCACCACCTTCTTCTGCTGGCATGTGGCTTTCATTGCCATTTTGATGATCTGGGTCTACGGCTTCTCCGTTGTGTGGTATTGTTACATTTGTTGATGTCCGAACCTGGGGAAGCCCAGAATGGTTCCTATCACCTGCACATTCTGAAACACCTGGATGAGAAGTTGTGGGAAGTGGTGGTGGTAGAGAGGAAGACGACAGAGGCAGCAGACTCTCCTGGGATGGACCTACACCGTCTCCCCTCTGGCTTCTCTCAGTCTCATTTGCTGAGCAGTGTGCTGGGACAGGCAACTGAAACACAAGAGGCATGTCACAATGACCTTCATTCTCGGCTCCCCAAGTATTTCCCCCACCTCCTCTTCCTCTCCTCAACTCCAGCCAAGGCATTCTCTTTGCCTTTCTCCTCTCTGTAATCTTCACATCTCCCCCAGGAGAACATGAAAATAAATGTACTATATCTTCCCTTTGGGTCTTTATATATATATATATCCTCACTCACCCAAGAGAATACTGACCACAAGTTACATTTAGTACATCATAATTTACCCATCATAGTAAGCACCTCCTCACCCTTTCTCTTTCTGGATCTCTTCAATACCTACACAAAATCTAAACTGTTATTTTAACTAGAAAGGGCTCAGAGAACAATTGCTGAATTATTTTCTTATGGTTTGTCAAAGAGATCTTTTGTTTTCAGCTTTATTAAGATATACTTAATTTACAAGCAATTGCACATATTTAATGTATATATTTTGGTGAGTTCGGGCATATGTGATACCATGATAACATCACCACACTCCTGGAAGGCAATTTCCTCCGCAGGGTCTAGCACAACAGAGCAGCACCTTGCACATAGCGAGGGCGCAAAAGGACCCGTGTGCTTCCAGGAGTGAGTCTCACTGAGTGTAGAGTCTGTCAGATTCTTCTGCTTGGATAGATCAGCCCATTATTCTGTACACACCTCAATCCATTTCCAAGTAGTAGACTCACCTGAAACAACTCCTTTCTGGTTCTCATGTGTCGTGAAATTCAGTGGCTTATTTATCCCACAAAAAAAAAATTTTTTAATCCTCACACCTATCTTATCATGTAGGTTTATAGATGATAATCTAATACTCAAAAGGTTTAAAAAAAACACTAGCTTAAGGCAGTCAGATATCTAGTTATGTCGTATAATGCCATGCCTGGGTGTCCACAGAGGTGGAATTCTAAGTAGTAGAGTTAAATTGCTGGCAACTTGCAAAACAATGTCTTTATGACCCCTGCTATGCTTCTTTCCCTGCTGTGCCCAGGATACAGACAATCTGTTAGGCTTCTCTTACTCTTGGTCATGATTATAATATCCAGGCTTACGACAGAGTGAGGCTGGGGCAGAGATTCTAGGGGGTCATCATCCTTCCGGTTGCCCTTTTGCTTCTAGTTCTTAGGAAAACTGGACATACCTGTCTTCCTTTGGTTCTGGACTTATTCTTCCTGGTTAATTTTCTAGTTCAACAGTTATTGTGTAGCGGGGGTGAATTATTGTCTTCTTCTTTTTTTTTTTTTTTTAAGATTTTATTTATTTATTTGACAGAGAGAGATCACAGGTAGGCAGAAAGGCAGGCAGAGATAGAGGAGGAAAATGGCTCCCTGCCAAGCAGAGAGCCTGATGCGGGGCTCGATCCCAGGACCCCGGGATCATGACCTGAGCCGAAGGCAGAGGCTTCAACCCACTGAGCCACCCAGGTTCCCCAAATTATTGTCTTCTTGTTAAGGTTTTCTACTCTGTGGTTTGAGGAGCTGTGAGCATTTAGAGTTACTGCAAAGGGGGTGGTGCTTCCCAGTGTCATTTCAGGGGTGGTCAGCAATGTCTCTGAATGCGGGATGGCATGCATGTGACCGGCAGGCACCAACTCTCCAGGGAGGGCTTTCACCTTGCACCAGTAGGGTATCCAATCAGGTTACAATGCTGCTCTCCACTGGGGATAACAGTGGTCTGTGGGGTGGAAATAAAATATTTCTTAGGCATTAGTTCAGCTTCTTTGCCTCTCCTTGGTCCTGGTGACCCGTGGAGCTTTGCAGTCCTCTCTGTAGGTCCTGCCCTGTTCCTGGTTGTCACCTCTGGGTCCCTTCCCCTTGTTTCTCCCTCACAGTCTTGGGTATTTTTCAGGACTTGCCTAACCTTGCAACTCATCCTTCCTGAACCCTAGCTGAACCTCTTCGAGTGTCGTGAAGTTGGGAAAGCAGGGAATCTGTTTTTCCTCTGCATTCTTTCCTACTGATATGGCAAACCTCTGTTTTCTACTTCACTCAGCCCTCCTATTTTTGAATTAAGAGCATGGTTTGGATTTTTTTAATCAAAAAATTGACTCTTCTTTTCTTACAATTACAATCAAACCTCATCTTGTGGCAGTGTCTGCCACTAACTGGGGAAAAAGTTATTTACAAGGGTGGAAAAGCAAAGCCTAATATTAATATATTAATATTTCAAGATATTATCTCTCTACAAAGATGAAGTTGAAGAGATACCATCTTCTGATGACAGATACCATCATCTACTGACAGATCTGTCCCTTTCTGAGTACTTTTGAGCTCCTGGTAGATGCTGATGAACTCATCTCCTGTAGTAAATTAATGCCTCCCGATATTATTATGTCTCACAATATGTACCTTTGAGGAAAATAATAAATATTAGCACGGTCACAACGCCACAAAGAATTATTACTAAGGGCTGATACAATGGTGGAATGGACAGACCTGATGTTTGGATGAAAGGGTCTTTCTGTTCTCTTCACATCACAGTAGGCATGAGCACTCTGAAAGTAATCCTTTGGATTTGTATCTTGGGATGTAAAACCTTTGGAATGTAAAACCAACTGAAGATAAATTTAGAAACAATAGCAACAGCAAAAACCCCCGAGTTGTAGAGAGAAAGGTGTAATCTTCACCACCGCCCACCAGAGGGCACATTTTTACATAAGCCTGGAAAAGGTCATTGCTCTGTTTGGTGTTGCAAGTATCAATTTAGAAAAAAAGGAAGGGATGAAGAGAAGGGCAAAAAAATCCATAAGCAGGTGTTATCCAGGCATCTGGTAGACATAATGAAGGTCTGTTTGTTTCTTGTTAGACTTAGGCGTGTGGACTTGAGTAAACACAGAATTCAAATACTAGGTATGGATTATAGATAGATAACTGGAAACATTGATATATAGATACATAAGGTATATAGGTGTATACATGTATAAATATCCATGCATTTATATATAGATAGATATGTGTGTATCTCAAAAAAAAAAAAAGTGTACAACGCCCTTCAAGCTGAAATGGCTGCTGTTTTTTTAGCAACTTTATAAAATAATCAAAATGCTTTTGTTTAGCTCATCACATAATAGATATGCATCAAATAGTTGGTGAAGGAGTAAATAAAATATCTAGGACAGGAGTAGCACAGATGAAATGTTGGTTTAATTCTCTTCTGCGTTTTGATGGATAAGTAGGAGTTTGTTAGAGGAGTTCAGGATAGGAATTCTGAGGTCTTTTGTTTCCTCTGCTCAGACACCAAAGCCCAGCAAACACAACCTTAGCAGAGCAGTTCCAGGGATGGAATTTCATGGCCCAGTGATACAGAGAACACTACCAAGTTCCTGTCCCTTAGGATGGGTGGCTAAGGAAGAGCCACACAAAATTGTTTAATGAGAAGTTTAATAATTTACTTTTCAGTTTGAAGGCAGAATATTATTAATGGGCTCTTACTAATTGAAGGGGAATATTGTTCCAAAATAACAAAAGCATTTGCAATTACTTGTATTGCAGTTAACATCCAATAGATTAGGCATACATTGATATACTAATTATTAAATTTTTTAACTTGACATAAAAAATTATTTATAAATGTAATATTATTTAAAATTGCTATCATTTGTTCACCATCTTTCAATAAAATCATGCATTTGATAAATCATGCATATCATAAATCATAGGAAAAAAATTTTCCTAAACAGATGCCATTTCCATATTTTGTTAGTTGAAATTCCTTAGTTGTTTCATATTATAAAATTTAAATTTAAATTTACCCACTCAACCAAAAGAAATAAAATTATTGTTGCCAACTTCTTGAGGCTTCTCTGTCCAAAACTCAGAATTTTTATACATATTTTAGGTCAAAGAATATAAGATCAAGACTAACCCTTTCTTTGTAGGATTATATACATTTTTGTTGTTGTTTGTTTTCTGTTTTACTTTGGTTTTTGTTTTTATATTTTTGTTTTGTTTTGTTTTTTGTTTTCTGTTTTGTTTTGTTTTTGTTTTGCCTTTGGCCAAGACTTCACTAATCACCAGTCACAAAAGATTGTACCTCTTGGGGCGCCTGGGTGGTTCAGTTGTTAAGCATCTGCCTTCAACTCAGGTCATGATCCCAGGGTCCTGGGATGGAGCCCCTCATTGGGCTCCCTGTTCAGTGGGAAGCCTGTTTCTCCCTCTCCCACTCCCCCTGCTTGTGTTTCCTCTCTTGCTGTCTCTGTCAAATAAATAAATCTTAAAAAGAAAGAAAAGAAAAAGAAAGGTTATACTTCTTATAACTTCAGTATCTTTCCTTAAAATGAATTGTTAGCTAAATAGCCCTATTTAGCCCTAAATAGCCCTATTTTAGTGAAAGTCTTTTCCAGTTTTTATTCTCTTTCTGTATTACTGTAGCTAAATGCACCAAGTCCTATTATGTACCATTATGTAGCATTTTAACCCCTTTATGTAGGACACAATTGCACTTCCTTTGACTTTAAGAATTACATGTATTTCATCGACCACCATTCTGAAGTCTTTGATTGAAATCTATTATATCAGCAAAGATGACAAAAATTAGGAGTAAGGTCTAAACTCTGCATGCTGCATCTTTTCCTTAGATAGCTAACAATGAGCAGTAATGCACACAAAGTTCTAAATCAGAAGGCACAGCTTTGCTTAGGAGAATTCTATTGTCTGTCGATATTATATCTCAAGCTTTCCTAAGTTAACACTGGGACAATGACTCTGTGTTACTTGCTTTATCTCTCCCGGACCCTCTTTCAGTGTCCCCTTTCCTCAATCACAATTTTTAGGTCTTTATATTTGGGCAGGACTTCAAGCTTTCCATATGGCCTTCACTTCCATTTCTCAGCTAAACTGAACATACATTAGCCGGTACCTACTACTGCCGGGC